CGTAAGAATTTGCTAACAAACGATTGTAGTATATTTGACCATTGTAATTTAACAAACGTTAAAGTATTTCTGAACTCTATAGCTTATCCATACGATAATTTGAATTTAGATTTTACTAAAAATAATTTCACCTTATTATATAATATGTATACATCGTTTCAAGAATCGTACTATGAAAAAAGTATTCGTAATCCGATATTGAGTCCTTCTACTTTTCTGACAAACGCTCCAATTATAGTTATCGATACTTCGAAACAGAACGATTCAGCCACAGCCTCAGCAGTGGATGTTCAATTGGAAATTGAAGCTTCAGATTCGCTTACAGGTGTAACTGCTTATTGTTTATTAATTCATGATCGTATTGTAGAATATGTACATTTTACTAGAGAAGTAAGAAAACTTGTATAAATAATTGTTTAGAATTAATATATAATTGTATTTGTAAATAAAATAATATTTAATAAATAATATATATTTTATCAAATTGTTGTGTTACATGGTGAAGCATGTGGAAATCTCCCTGTAAAAAAGGTGTTCAGAACGCACAGTAGGGTTTTTGAGTTTATGTGTTACACGGTGGATTATGTAGAAATGCCCCCCTTGAAATGATGAAATCTCCCTGTAAAAAAGGTGCTCAGAAGGAACATTAGGGTTTTTGAGATTATGTGTTACACGGTGGAGCATGTAGAAATCTCCCTGTAAAAAAGGTGCTCAGAAAGCACAAATATATACTACTTCTGTAATTTATCTGGAATGTTAAGTCATATGCTAATTATTGTATTGCCACTTATAAATACCAAATGCCCAAATGAAAATGAATTGTTGAACATTTTTGATTTTCAATATAGGTACACCTATACAATTTAGTAACTAAAAATATATTATGCATAATTTAATACTAACATTACTAGAAAAGTTGGAAAAAGAAAATACCTGTGAAGTAAAATCTGTAATATACTTATGAAAATATAAGAGTCTAGTGGATTTGGATTACAATTTACAATTCTGATGTAGTGTAATAAATTGCAAAATTAAAACTGTTAATAATTTGTAATAAAAATGGTTCTATAGTAAACAGTATAAATAGTAATAATACATTTATAGAATATATTCATCATGTAAATATAATATAATATATATTTTATTACCATAATTACTCCTTGACTAGTACGAGGTCCTAGGTTTAGTAATCTCCACTGGGCACTGGCCATGCCAGTTTTGCACACATCTATATGTTGGGTTAATTCTACCATTCGCAAAATCTTCAATTGGTTTATTTGCCATTGTTAAAATACTCTCGTGATATCTATTAATTATAAAATAATACAATTAATTTTTGTGTATACATAGGTTTATAGAATACATTTAAATAAAATAATAATAACTTTTATTAGAAATACTAACTGAATAATTGGTCAATTTGAATTGATGTTAACATTAGAAATGGACAAATTGTATAATTCAAACCACGCCTAATCAATTTTATTATAAATACTGTACAATCAAATTATGTTTTATTTACATCAAATGACAATATGTATTGTAACAAATCAACATAAATTCTACTTTAAATCTGTCATATTGTTCTTATTAATATATATTTACCGTAATGCATCTGATATTGTCATCCCATCATAAAAATAATCTTCAAAAATGTACTTCTTAAATTAACATCTGGATTCAAATACCGCAGTGCTTCAGCAGTATTAATATTATGATTATGAGTATTTGCGATAGTAATCATGCCTAAGTATTTATTCTATAAACATGAAATATTAAATGTAGTTATTAGTGGGTATATAATTTAAAGTTTAAATTTTTCAGTAAATTTAAAGATTGTGTGATATGCAGTACTAGTGTTTGAAAATTTCATGAAATTTAAAAAAATGAAATATTTCAGTATTTTAATATATTTTGTTTTATTTTTAAATAATTTTTATATTTACATATAATTGTCATAAATTACCTTCATCACTATATGGTACCTGTATGTATACCTACCCTTTGGTATTATACATTTAAATTGGTATAAATAATCATTTATAAATCACCATTTTTTGCCTTGGTTTGGTTTGGTTTGGTTGAAAACAATGCAAACCCGCAGTTATTAAATATATTATTGGATTTCATCATTGAATTTAAGTACCTACAGTAATTAATTTTAATACATACATTATTTACATTATTTGTTACTAAAAAAAAACTAATGTAACTTATATTTTTCCATATTAACTTAATGAATTAAAAAAAGTAACTAACTCACCCAAACTTGGAAAAAAATAATACTGTGTAACATTCTGAAGAGTGGAAACTTTTGTTTTATAGAAAAGAATAAAAGTCGTATTGTCTGTGCTGTCGTATTGTCTATATGCAAGTTTTCATTTAAATGGTACAATGACCTTTATTCCCACATGAGTTCTGAACATAACATGACTGTAACAATAGAACACTTTACTTTTGACGGAGAAAATAGTGAGTTGATTATGAATATAACATACATATTATAAGTTTATAAAATATGAAACCTTTTTTTATTCAACTTATAGGATTCAAGGATTGGAAACAGAAAATTGAAATGAAACTCGAAGTAGATATGTCAGATCTTCAGGTCAAAGAAAAATTTCCAATGGTAGTAAGATTCGCAAAGAATTCTTTTGTCACCGATCATTCGTGCCAGTTCTAAAGACTGAAGGACGTAAGAGAGCTATTAAAAGCTTGGGTACAAATAAAATTTCAGTTGCCTGCCCATCCAGAATGTGTGTGGAAATCAAAGGAACTGAAGTCAATGTAGATTTCATTCGCTTACATTTGGGTCACAAATGTGAGGTGACCAGAAATGGTACTATCAAATGATGAACGAGCTTGTATTGCAGGTAAGTAAGGCTCTCTTTCAGTTTATAATAACATTTTGTTTACCAAAGTTTTTTCATTTATACTTCACTTGTAACTTTTTAAGGAAAGCTTCGTCAAGGTGTTCCTGTGGACCGAATAATGCAAGACATAAGAAGTACAAGTAATCCAGATCCTGAGAAGTTTGACCGTATTCATTATACAGAGAAAAAGGACGTACGTAATATCCAACGTGATTACAAACTTGGATATCATACAATGAAATTTCATGAAGATGACGAAGTTAGTGTAGATGTTCTAGTTCATACTCTGCTCGAAAAAGAGGACACTGTTATACTCCATTACAACCAAAGTGATAGCTTATTCCATTTAATTATTATGACTCCTTTTCAAAAAGAAATATTGAAAACATTAGGTCACCACAATCGTTTTTGCATTGATGGAACACATGGGATGAATGCAAAGAAGCCAAAAATTCAGCTCTTTACACTACTTGTAATCGATGAGTATGGGAATGGTGTTCCAGTTTCATTTTTCTTTTCTAATAAGGAAGAAACTACTTCTATGCTATTATTTTTTGAAAAAGTAATAGAAGCTGTTGGTCTGAAGATTGAAGCAGACGTTTTCATGTCTGATGATGCACCTCAGTTTTATAATGCTTGGGAGCAAATTATGGGCGCCCCTCAACATCATTTGCTATGTTGGTGGCATGTAAATAAAAACTGGACAACTAACTTGAACTCTAAAATCAAAAATAAAGAAAAAAGAGAGCTTGTAAAAAAAAGTCTCTATGTTTTAGCAACTGATATTGAAAATGAAGATGAATTTGAAGTGAATCTACAAATATTTTTAAATGAGCTTCAAGAAGATGAAGATACTTGGATGTTCTATACATATTTTTGCACTACTTATATCAAGAAGAAAAAGTGTTGGCATTCTGTTACCGGAAACATACAGGTTTGAACACTAATATGCATCTTGAAAATTTACATAAGAAAATAAAATATATCTACTTAGATGGCAAGATATGCATTCGCTCAGATAAAGCCATCCATAAGTTATTTGACCTAATGAGAGATGTTATGTTTGAACGCATTATTAAAATAGCAAAAAATAAACCAACAGAGAAAATAAGACGAATAAGAGATGGTCATTTGAAAAGTTTAAAAATTGAAGACTGTTATGTAAGTCAAGATTCTGAAAACCAATGTATATGGTTTGTTGCATCACTCAAGGATCCTAGTCATATGTATAAGGTAGAAAATTTGAAAAAGGTATGTATTGAGGATTTATGCCCCTTGCAATGCAGAACATGTAATGTGTGTGTTCATACATATCAATGTTCTCGCATTGACAGTAGGGTTTATTTAAATATATGCAAGCATATACATAAAATTGGTGCTGGCAAGGCAAATATTTCACCTATTGAAAATGAGTATCGAAATTAATTTTCACCTATAGCCATGCAAGGGGAAAATGAAATCATTCAAACTATAAATCTTTTAGAGCCAGTAGAAATGACAGAGCATACAATTTCTAAATCTCGACAAGAACTTATAAGTAAATTACAAGTGATGCTTGGTTATGCTCAGTCTACCCTTGAAGATCATATTCCCAATACTTTGAAGTATTTAGACAAAGCTCTTTCTTACATGAAGAATCCTAATAAGAAACTTGTTGAGAAAGAAAATTTGAACCCTTTGAAGAAAATCATTCAACAAAGAGTCCAGTATTCTGAGGAAAAAATCATCAAGATGAATGTTAAGTGTTCTCAAAAAAAATCAATTAAAAAAAGAGACATTCCACTACTGCCAAAACCATCAGAAAATGAAATTGTTATGTGTAAGGACATTCTGAATTTTAATAAGAGGACATCCTATGTTCACACAGGAGTAGATCACACATATTTTCAAAATGAATAACTTTTTTTATTATTATATTAAATTCTTGACAATATTAATTATGAAAAATAAATTATAATTACATTTAATATTAATTCAATTATTATTAGTGTATAGAATTCAGTTTAAAAATAAATCTATTCAGTAAGTCCCAATATTATTTAAAGATGATAAACAAACAAATATTATACAATTATGATTATTATATATATATTATATATTATTATATAATTATTATTATTATATGCATTATGCATTTTCTTCATGAAATTTCATTGTATGATATCCAAGTTTGTAATCACGTTGGATATTACGTACGTCCTTTTTCTCTGTATAATGAATACGGTCAAACTTCTCAGGATCTGGATTACTTGTACTTCTTATGTCTTGCATTATTCGGTCCACAGGAACACCTTGACGAAGCTTTCCTTAAAAAGTTACAAGTGAAGTATAAATGAAAAAACTTTGGTAAACAAAATGTTATTATAAACTGAAAGAGAGCCTTACTTACCTGCAATACAAGCTCGTTCATCATTTGATAGTACCATTTCTGGTCACCTCACATTTGTGACCCAAATGTAAGCGAATGAAATCTACATTGACTTCAGTTCCTTTGATTTCCACACACATTCTGGATGGGCAGGCAACTGAAATTTTATTTGTACCCAAGCTTTTAATAGCTCTCTTACGTCCTTCAGTCTTTAGAACTGGCACGAATGATCGGTGACAAAAGAATTCTTTGCGAATCTTACTACCATTGGAAATTTTTCTTTGACCTGAAGATCTGACATATCTACTTCGAGTTTCATTTCAATTTTCTGTTTCCAATCCTTGAATCCTATAAGTTGAATAAAAAAAAGGTTTCATATTTTATAAACTTATAATATGTATGTTATATTCATAATCAACTCACTATTTTCTCCGTCAAAAGTAAAGTGTTCTATTGTTACAGTCATGTTATGTTCAGAACTCATGTGGGAATAAAGGTCATTGTACCATTTAAATGAAAACTTGCATATAGACAATACGACAGCACAGACAATACGACTTTTATTCTTTTCTATAAAACAAAAGTTTCCACTCTTCAGAATGTTACACAGTATTATTTTTTTCCAAGTCTGGGTGAGTTAGTTACTTTTTTTAATTCATTAAGTTAATATGGAAAAATATAAGTTACATTAGTTTTTTTTTAGTAACAAATAATGTAAATAATGTATGTATTAAAATTAATTACTGTAGTGTAGGGTGAGGTTGGCAATACCACCATCCTACCACCTCCGACGCCGCACTGTTGTGTGTGTGTGCGTGTAGTCCGTTACGTCTCTCACTAGTCTCGCTTTTAAAATATTATGTACGTTAAGGTTAAAACAGTAATAAACACTTATGAACGTTATTTTCTTTGTTGTTGTTTTATGAATTATATATTTTAACTTATGTTATGTTGATTGATGATGGTTCGGCGTAAGAGTAACACCGCCTACAACTTCAGAAGTGGGATTAACTCGATTCAACCGGATGAAAACCGCGGAGCCGTGCACATGCACGACCACGATGTCGCTGTCAATGGCGACGGTGCTCACGAAGCTGCCCTAACACCTGCAATTGTTACACCACCCGCGAGTGGCGAAGGTTCCAATCAGAATGCAACTCCTGACTTGAACGCAATGTTTCAATTACTGATGGAACAAAATCGTATGCTTATGCAACAACTCTCTGTTTCGAATTCAAAGACGAATAATGAACAAAGTAATTCGTTTTATGTCATGCCGGATTTGAACAAAAGTGTTAAGTCGTTTACGGGTCGCGAATCCGGCTCGGAAGCAAAGGATTGGCTCAAAACTTTTATTGGAATGGCCGAAATTAACAAATGGTCCGATGCATTAAAAATTGAGTCAATTCGTGCAAATTTGAATGGTCCAGCTCAGCAATGGTTTAAAAGTCGTCGGTTCAGCTCTTGGGAAAATTTTGAGCAACAATTTACGCGAACATTCATTGGTATTCCAAATCGTACAGAGCTATGGCACGCATTGGTCGCTAGGACGCAATCGAAGAATGAAGCAACTATAGATTACTTTTATGATAAAGTACGTTTGTGCAGTGAATTATGTTTGTCATTTGAAGAGACAAAAACACAATTATTGGAAGGGTTTTATTCACAAAGTATGGTTACATATTTATTATCAAAACATCATACAGAAACTGATGGTATGTTTGACGATATTTTAACTTATGAAAGATTATATAAAATGCGTACAACCCTTTATGGCTCAAATAAACAAACCTCCTCAAGCAATTCAAATTTATTCATTAAAGCTAGTGCTCAAAAAAATGAAAAAAATAACTCAAGTCTAGAACCGAAGCAAACCTTAATCAAACGTTGTTTTAATTGCTATAGTACTGCACATACTATTATTAATTGTCCAGAACCTAAACGGAAGCCGGGGTCATGCTTCAAGTGTGGATCTACAGAACATCAACAACGAGATTGTAAGATGAAAATTAACAAAACAAGTCGAGGCACCAGCGAGGACTCAACAATGATAATTGAAATCGATGAGGCAAGTAATCCACCGTTTATGCTTGGTATTGATGTCATGTGTGAGACAACTCGTTGGACCACAGATGCGCTGATTGATACAGGTAGTCCAATTTCTATTATTAAGGAAAATGCTGTTCCTAAAGATGTAATTGTTATCCCTGCTAGTTCTAAACTTTCTGGTATTAATAAAAGTCCATTAAAAGTATTAGGTGTTATTAATACAAAAGTATCTGTAAACAATTTACCAGTAGATTTAAATATCATATTTTATGTTGTTGATAATAATACTATGAATTATAATTGTTTGTTAGGAAGAAATTTTGTTAATAACAATTTAATCAAATTAACATTTGATAAAAACTTGTTCATTGAAAAAAATGATTCTTATAATGAATTTATTGTTGATGATATCATGTTAATTGATACTGGTGTGTCAAATTCATTACAATTAGATATTAATAGTGACTTATGTGCTGATATGCAAGAACAGGTTAAAGTAATATTTGATAAACATTATACTAATGCAGTAAGGCCTATAGAGAAAAAATTTCAATATGCAATTCGCGAAAAGTTAGAAAATTCAGATATTCCATACTATGAATTGCGGGATGGCTTGGTTTATCGTACAGATGAAAAAAAATTATTATTTTATGTACCTAATGAGTTAATAGATAATGTAATTAGAACTTGCCATGATAATGTAGGACATGTGGGTATCGATAAAACATTATCATTAATTAATAATTCTTATTGGTTTCCAAAAATGAGGGACAAAATTAAATATTATATTTCAAAATGTCTAAAATGATTATCTTATGCTCCTAAAAATGGGAAGGCTGAAGGACTACTACATGCTATTCCTAAATGTAATCTCCCATTTAATACTATTCATATAGACCATTTGGGTCCTTTTGAAAAAGCTCCTCATGGTCATAAATATATTTTTCTTGTTACTGATGCATTTACAAAATGTATTAAACTATTTCCTACCAAGACCACTAATAGTAATGAAGTGATAAAACACTTAAAAATGTATTTTAATTATTATAGCAAACCTATTCGTTTAATATCAGATAGAGGGTGTGCATTTACTTCAGCAACATTTCAGGAATTTATAAAAGAGTTAGATATTCAGCTTATACATATAGCTACTGGTACTCCTAGAGCAAATGGACAAGCCGAAAGAGTTAACCGCACAATTCTTCCAATAATAGCTAAATTAACACCTACTTTATCTCAATGGGACAGGACTTTAAGTGAAGTTGAGTACACCATTAATAATACAATTAACCGTTCAACAAATGAAATACCAGCAGTATTGTTATATGGTATAAAACAATTAGGTAAACCTGATGATGAAATAAAAAAATATTTAGATTCTTATGTTACACATAATGAAAGGGACTTAGAAAAACTTAGGCAGGATGCCTCCAATCACATTGACAAGGTTCATAACCAAAATAAAATATATTATGACAGTAAACATAAATTACCCACCAATTATAGTGAAGGAGACTTAGTTCTAATTAATAATTATGATGTCACACCTGGTATTAACAAAAAATTAATTCCAAAATTTAAGGGACCATACATAATAAAGAAAAAACTACCTAATGATAGATTTGTAGTGACTGATATACCAGGGTTCCAGCAGAACCAAAGATTATATGAAGGTATCATATCTATTGGTAATATAAGAATGTGGCAACCACATCTTGCATAGCAGTACAACTTGACTGTTTATATGGTTGTTTAAGTAGGTATTTGTTTGCACTTGTAAAAAAAAAAAAAAAACAACAGTTTTATAAAAATCATTTTTTTTTCTGTCTTTGTTTTGTATCATTATTATCTTAAAAAAAAAAAAAAAATTGTTATTCTTTATGATATTTATGATTTAATTATGTATTATGTTATTAATTATGTTGACTTGCTATTTTATGATATTATGAACATTGTTTTATTTTATGTTACTTATTATGAATAATGTTATGTTTATTTATGTTTATTTATGATATTTTATGATGCATTTATACTTATTATGAATAATGTTATGTTTATTTATGCTATTTATGATATTTTATGATGTATTTATACTTATTATGAATACTGTTATGTTTATTTATGATATTTTATGATGTACTTAAGTTATGATTATGTTATTTTTTTTGTTATGGTATGTTAACTTTCTAATTTTGGCTTTTAAGGGGATTCGATACCGATCGTTTTTAAGGAGCTGAGTATAGGCACTTTTAAGGCTATTTCCATAGTGCGTGCGTGCGTGGCGTGTATTTGTGTTTGTAGTAAACGATCATTAGTGTTAGTGCCCCCCGCCCGCCCAAAGACAACTTCAGCCCGCAACATTATGATATTTCTTATCTTCGATTATGACGGCGCGGCGTCCCGTAATTCCACTACCTGTATAAAAATATAATAAATATACATAGTACATGTACATAAATTATTATAGATACTAGATAGTAAATCATTCGCTGCCTGACGTAATTTTACATTTTTATTTTTTACCCAACGAATATTGATCTCGGGCATTTTTGTAATTGAATATAAAGATAGGTAAAATAAGTATATAACTATTGTAACTTGTAAGTTTAATAATACAATAATAACAAGCGTTTATTTCAAATAATAAAGTAGTTTTTATGATTATTTTATTCGCTTTTTAGACTTAATTTTTTTCGTTTATATTTTTATGTAATTACCTATTACCTACCTGTAATCTGTATACTACCTAAATTGTATTTGTTTGAGAGTCAAAAAAACACTCATCACTGCAAAAACTTTTTTATTTTACTTAATTTATTGTATGTATTATACATTATTATAATAGGTATCTAATTATAATATTATAAGCCTGTTCTAAGTGGAAGTCCTCGGTCAAGTCGAGAATCAGTTATCTCCGGAAGTAAGCATTCCATGTAAAACTTCTTCAACTTTGGTTCTATATCCATCCAGAACTTGTCATCCCTTTCAATTTTCTCTACTATAAGTCCTATTAATTGGTATAGGTGTTATTATTATAATTTTATATAACAAATGGCTAATTGTATACATTATCTTGTAGGTAACTTATACATTTAAGCTTCATTTATAATAATTTTTACCTTTAGGTGTCCATATACAAAAATAACAAAACTTCCTATTAGTTATATGTAGTTGTCCCTGAATTTGATAGAAGTATGCATGTGATGTTTTCAGCTGTAAATTTCCATCATTGTACGTCATACATTTTAATTTTTTTTCATGAAAGGCCTCTTCCGGCGTATAATCTTTTATGGATGATGGACATTTAATTTCAACAATAGAATCATAACTTATCAAACCATCTGGACTAGCAGCCAAAAAAGGCAAATCATTATCAACAAAAAGCCCACAGGGTAATATTGCTGTCCCAAGCTTTGACTCCAAATTATTTTTTGCCAAAGGTTCATTCTGAATTCCATATCTAAAAACATTATTATTATGACTGAGAAAGTGATATAAGTAACCCTTATAATAAATATTTTATACATAATATAAAGAATAAAGAAAAAATGGGTGAGATAGTATATAATGCATAATTGACCTACTTTGTTGCAGCATTACCACGAAATAAGTCGTATAAAATAAATTTGACTGTATTTTCGCGAGAAGTGGTTGATCTCAATTTGGCAACTTTTCCAAAGTTTGAAGCTGTGAGTCTCATTTTTCTTTGCCTTCGCCATTCATCGCTTTGGGATTGATTAATAGTACTTCTTTCCAATAATTTTATTTCTTCATGTGTGAGTTTTAGTTTTTTTAGAAACTCGGTTTTTTTAATTCCATACTTTTCAATTGGCATATCAACTATTTCAGAAGGCTGTTCTACTGCTCCATAGTCTTCGTCAGGTCCGTGTGGAAATATATTCTTTTTAATTTTATATCTTGAAAAAAATATTAAACAAATATAAACATTTATAAAAATTACAATAGACAATATTAATTATAGTTATAGTTTTATAAACACAAAATGTAATAGATATGCACCCAGGTTGATTTAATTTTCTTCGTTTAATATCATTTTTCTTTTTTTGTATCCTCTTAATATATTTTTTCGTGAACAATCCTGGACTATGAAAAGTAGCTTTCTTATGGAAATGGCTAATATACGAAGGGCCGAGGTTGAACGCATTGACAGCCGTATCGCAACGGGCTTGGTAAGAGCCTATATTTAATATATAGTAATAACTAATAATATTAAGTATACATTTACGTTTATATTTTTTTAAACCTATTATTATTTTTAACACTTGCCTCTAAAAGAATAATTAACACGTTTACCACCGATGAATTTAGCAACAACGCTATTATAACTTTCCACGCAGTTGTTGTTTACAAAATGAATAAGACTATCAGAATAATGTGCAACTAAATTTCTTGCTCCCAAAATATCTTGCCAAAGTCCACAATTTTCCATTTCGGAAATTATATTTCTTTCCCCGGGTTTAGGTCCATCACAAAAATAACTAAAAAAAATCATTAATTATCATAATAAAGTTTGTCTATAACCTTTTTTTATGTTTAAATAAGCACATTACGAAAAACCCACTTAGCACACTTGTCATGAGAACCAAAAACATGATAAGGCCCATTTTCTATATCCTCCCTTAATAAAGTGATCTTGTAATTTAAAGGGACGTCTAATTTCGATCTATATTTAATTGCGTATGTAATTCCGGACCTGTAATATAATTTGTATTGTGAATACAAAATAAAGACAAGACTAGTAAATAAATACAAGACTGGGAAAAGCAGAATATTATTCTATTTTTTTTTCAATGATTAAAAAAAATTACCTCAGTTTTAAACGTCGTTCCTTTAACATTTTTCGTAGCTCACCAGGGACGACAACGCCGCTTGAACTTTTTCTCTTTGATGCTATATCCACTATGCGATTTAAATAGTTTCTCAAAATATGGTTAGTACACTCAATTTTTTGTACTTCCGTATCAAATCCATACGGTTTTGACAACATAATTTTTTTTAGTACACTAGAGTCTCCATCTCCTATGAGTTTATGATAAATAATATTATGTGTAGGAATGCTTTGTCGAAAACCTTCTACAATTATATCTGACTCCATAGAAGTGCTAGTGTATTGTTCCAGTTTTTATAGCAAATATGATTTGGAGGATCTTTGTTTATTGCCTTAGCTTTCATACATACCGAACAGTATTTGTTCCGTACTCCAATAAATAATACTTTTTTTGTTCTATAACCGACAATGCAAGCCTGAAAATTAGTAAATATTAAAATATTAAAATTGTAGTCTTGCCCGCCTTTTTAAATATTTTATAAAATGATAAAAATAAAATCTTACAACTCCAGATAATGCATTGTAGTTATGTTTATAGGATCTTTTTGACCAAGCGCCATCAGCGACGACAGTTATCAAGGGTATACCATTACTATTTACTTCACCATTTTCAATAGCTAATCGCGCTTCTTCTTTGCCAGCCTCTTCAATCGATTCCCATGTAGTTAATTGTGTTTTATTTGCCACGAATTCATGTTAGTAGTATAAAAAGAGCGGTTCTGATACCTACTCCCTACTCACTACTCCCCTCATCCTCATCCTCATCCCACATCCCTCATCCCTCACCCCCTCATCCTCATCACTCATCATACCGCCCGCATCCTCATCCGCCACCGCCGCCGCCCGATCCTCACCCCTCATCCTCATCACTCATCACACCGCTCGCGTACGTGCGTGACTTATATTATTGTTATCACTGTTATCAGTGTTATCACTGTTATCATATTTTTTCCGTTATC